TCACCAAGGGAGAGGAATAATGAAATCTCGCACCTTCTGAGACCCTTTCCCAGAGCTGTTTGTGAGCACGTTCCTTCCAAGTGGATGAGAAGCTGCCTGTGCAGCTTTGGAGGTGCACTAGAGGTGCCGGCAGGTACTGGGTCTGAAGCCCCCTCACCTCTGGGGGCTCCTCCCTGCAAAACCCAAGGGAAGGTGGGGAGCCCCCCCCTTGCTGTCCCTCATCCCCACATCCAGTGCCTCGGCAGGTTCCGTCCACTCCAGCTTCACCCCATACCTCGAATCCACCCACCCCTCCCTCTCCAGCCCAAAGCACCATCGCCAAACAACACCAAGATGGCGGCAATGGTCTCATAACTCATCCATTCATCCTACTGTCTGTTTTCCTGCAGCCAAGTGAACCAGACCATGTTGTCACTCTTGTCTCCCCCGACTGCAAGTGTGGAAAATGCAAAGTCCTTCCACGAGGCCTCAGGTCCTCCCTGACATCGTCTTCTATGCCCTCCTCGTCCCCTGCCACCCTGCACGTCAGGTTCTTTTCACCCCAGTGCCTCTGCATTTGCTGATTCCTCTTTGACCTTCAGGTTCCAACTCAAAAGTCGCTTCGTCCAAGAGCCCTTCTGGCTCCCTACCCAACGTGGACCTTCCCCAACCTGCCCAAGAGACTGCCTGGCAGTACTGCTGACTTGCTTCACAGCATAACCACAAAAAGGGATTTTCTGGCTTAATTATTTGTTAACCTTGTTGTTGCCTTCACTAATTAGACTTTAATCTACATGAGGTAAGAGACTGAGCTTGTCTTGTTTACCCCCATACTCTTAGCTTCCTGAATAGTTACGTTGTGTTGAATACTGGCTAACAGATGGACAGATGAATGGAGGGGATGAATGGATGGATGGATGAATGGGCAGGTGGATGGATGGGTAGGTGGATGGATGAATGGATGGATGGATGGACGGACGGACGGATGGATGGATGGATGGATGGATGGACGGACGGACGGACGGACGGACGGATGGACGGATGGATGGACGGACGGATGGATGGATGGATGGGTAGATGGCTGAGTGGGTGGGTGGACGGATGGATGATGGATGGATGGGTAGATGGCTGAGTGGATGGATGGACGGATGGATGGATGGATGGATGGGTAGATGGCTGAGTGGATGGATGGATGGGTAGATGGCTGAGTGAGTGGATGGATGGATGGATGGATGGATGGGTAGATGGCTGTGAAGACAGCTAGCTGGCTGGTTGGCTGAGTAGACAGCTAGTTGGATGGATGGGTACCTGCTTGGGTGGATGGATGGATGGAGTCTAATCATCCTAGGGTGAGACCCTGAGGTCCAACCTGCCTCCTCCTGGAGGCCCCAAGCTAATGAGGCTCGGGATCTGATTTAAGGGCAGTGAGAACTTGAGACTCCACCCCCTAGTGTTGAGAAGTGTTCCTAAAAATGACACTGAAATATTTGTAAGGTCCTTGTAGAAATGGCCCCAGGTCCTCTGCCTTCTGACCTTGACCACGTGTCCACGTTTCTAGACCCTTTTGTCGGGTGCAGGCTGGGTAGATGGCAGGGAATCTGAGGAGGGAATCAGCTGGATCAGCTAGACACATTCAACCACGACCGGGTGTGTTCCCACCATTCCGCTCTCAGCTCTGAATCTCTGAGTAAAGTTTCTGAAATAAGACGGGGTGGGAAGGGGAGAAACCTCCTGACTGATTCAGAAACTGTCTCCGTTGAGCCTCATTTCCCATGGCATATTCCTTCATCACACTTGCGGCGGCACTGGGGCAGCCTCAGCCACGAACCGCCTGCCGGGACGGTCACCCAACCACCGACTGCAGGTAATTGGCCCGGGGGCTGGCGCGGCCCCCACACCTCTGCGCCTCATTAGGCCACGTCTAACATGAATTCGGAAGCAGGCTAACAAGCGGCCGGTTGGTTTGAGCCCGCACCGCGGCACGCAATTCCCTCGGACGCTTTCTGCCGTGCACCCAGAGGACCAGAGGTCAGCCTCTCACTCTGGCACGTGCTCGAGAGCCGCCCCCGCCAGCCGCCTGGGTGACAATGGTGCGTCGGGGCCCCAGACTCCCTCACTGCCCGCCCTCCACAGCCTCTGTCAAATTCACAGTCTGGATAAGGCCAGTTCCGGGAGGCTGCAGGATCCCACAGGCTGACCCCTGCACCCTTTACAGAAAAGCTCGGAGGCCCTGCGATAACCAAGGCAACACGATTGTCCATCCTCCCAACACCCGTCACAGGGTGATGGTTCTGTCCTGAACTAGCTTTCCTCAATCCCAGGCTGATCCCTCGGCCAGCCTGGGGCAGTAACATCTTCACCTTGGTGAGGGGTTAGGGGGGCTGAGGGCACGGGCTCTGTACTCTGATGGCCTCAGACACTTGTGTCTGAGACACTCAGGCCCTCCTGTCTCCTCTCCAGAGACCTCCTGCCAAGTGGAGAATGACACCAATTTCAAGGTTGCTGGGAGGGTGGGTGGGCGGCGGTGCTGGGATCAGTGTAAGGCTGCTGTGGCCCGTGGCAGGAGGTCAAGAAATAGCGCAATCGTTACTCTCATTTCTTTCACGGCAACACCTCGGCAAGTGAGGCCCACCGCCTGATTCCTTCTTGTGGGAAAGGGGGGCTGGCTCCTAAACTGCGGTCAAGGTCAGAGCTTTTACCATCTGCTTAGAAGCTACCGTGTGACCCAGGTGTGTCCAGCTGTCCCCCTCCTCTGTGGTCCTGGACTCTGGCACTGAGCAGGTGGTCAGTATATACGTAGAACACAAGCCTTCATCTTGGGCCAAAACAGGGATGCAGACCTGGCTGTGATCTCGGAGATCATTTAGTCCAAACTTCTACGACATTCCGCCACGACGATGCCCACCCTGCTTGACTGCCTCCAGCGACGGGGAGCTCATCATCTCCCGAGACGGCTCTGTCCTATCACTTAACAGCTATGATGGTTCCACATGTCCTCTGTCGGCCGACCTGCAGTGAGCATCCCTGGTGCGCTCTGGTCTGTTCTCAGCCACAGGACACGTGGCCCAGACAGCCTGGCCCTGTGGTCTTCTCTTTTCCCAGCTCAGTCAGCCCTGCCCATCTCGAGCACTGAGTGTGCGTGCACACCCGCCCTCACACACACACACACCAAGGGTGGCCTGCTGGCTGCTCTCTGCTGACAATGGATCTCGTGGGGTCATGGCTTTGCAAAAGCAATGGCCTGGGGCAAGACATGGCCTGGACCCTTCCAGCATCCAGAGGCCCTCTTTCC